AAATTCAATGCGACCATTTTAAGTGATTCCTTTCGGTTACTGATTTTGCCATTAATCAAATATACAAAAACAATAAATAAATAATTGCTTTGAATGCTTGTCAATTTAATCTATAACCTTTAATTGATAATAAAACCATTGTAAAACGAAACTTATAGAAACAGAAATATACACTGGCAAATTAATTATCAATTTTAAGTAGGTAATTCATCGTCAAATAAACATAAGAAAATTTAATTAATACAACGCCAACGATTCGTTCGTATAATAATTAATTATTCATAATTATACAATAATTATGTTCATTAACTGACTTACGATTCTTTTATGCGTGTTCATCTACAAGAACGAGATGAGGAAGTCGCCCTAAGTGGATACCACGAAGAAATAAAAAACAAACGTATAAATTATGAATACGTATACAGTTGTTAGTGTTATTAGTTATTACTATTATGTTGTACGGTGAGCATGCATTGTGTGAATGAATGTGTGACCTTTGTTTATTACGATGTACGATCTTTCAATTGGCATTATTTATTAAATATTTCATCTTTTCTTTTTTAATGACTAGTAAGTTTGCCACCGCTATCTTTCTCTCTTCTACTACCGTATGTATCACACACAAGCTCACGATGATATATGTGAATAAAAAAGCATGTGCTCTCAATAGAACCATTGAACACATGAACGACTGATCACTATATGAACAGGAGAAGAAATAGTGGTGGTAGGGGAGGTCAGCGTGGGTCGTTTTGGTCGCTCAACGTGCACGTTCATAAACGGGGCTAAGGATGATGTAGCCGTTTCTATAATTTACCTAATGGAATCAAGATCAATTTGGCTTTTAACCCACCTCTGTTAAAACAGCCAGTATAAAAAATAAAAATAATATTTAAACGAATAATTGAATTTATTAAATTACATGTTATGTGTAAAGGTAAAATTCTTTGTAGAGTTTAGATTTCGTATTAATATTCAAACATTTGTTCAATAAAACGTCTTATGATCCAATTTCAAAAGTTATTAAGTATGTTTGAAATAAAAGGAGTACTAAAGTAAAGAAATTGATGTATTTAAAATTTATTTTTTGTATTTACACATTGAATCAACCAGTTATAATATTTTTAGTACTTAAAATTAGTGAGTGGTGATGCCTGGAGTTATAAGTTAAAATTGTATTTATAAGTCCCTCTTAATTATTAAACATACATTAACCTAATATTAATTAATACATAATATAATTTGTTTTAGCTTCATAATAATAAAGTTTAATAATAATTTTACTACAAATAAAAAGTACTAAAATAAAAATGTTAAGTTATTGTTCTTTTTATAGGAATAAAATTAGTCATAATTTATATTAGATCCTTTTTAAAAATAAAGACTTTTGTTTGTACAGTTTTATAGTCATGAATACGCTTTCATAAATTATCCAATGTCATTCTCAGGATTTTTTAGAAGGGTTATGGGGTTAAAACATGATAACATTTTTACTGCGATTTATAACAAATATAGTTTTTAATAGATAGTTTTACTCGTAATGACAGAAACATGATATTATTACGAATACATCCTTAATGATTGGCAAAATGTGTATTTGAGCACTTTTTATCAATAATTACTTAAATTAAAATAATAATTGATCACTTGAGGCTAATATTACTTAAAATTCAGCGTTAAACACATAGTACATATTGAGAGTTAATGAAGGTTACATTGTTTCTAAATGACAAATAATTTATATGTATGTATAAACGATTATTTTAGCATTTGTATGACTTTTTAAGTTAAATATTTTAATATTTCTTAGTTTTGTTTTAATATTTTTTTTATTTTTATTAAAACATTGTAAAATAATAGAGATACTAATGATTCACACAGTATAATAGTGCATAGATTACCCAGGATAATAAAAAAATAAATAACTATCTGTTGTCTACAATATTTATAGTGTGTTTCAATAAGAATACTATCTCTCATCCACCATTATTTTGTNGTAAAACATTGTAAAATAATAGAGATACTAATGATTCACACAGTATAATAGTGCATAGATTACCCAGGATAATAAAAAATAAATAACTATCTGTTGTCTACAATATTTATAGTGTGTTTCAATAAGAATACTATCTCTCATCCACCATTATTTTGTTAAATAATAGTTTTAGCTTCTATGCAAAGCTGAGAAGGTATTAATTTTACTATGAAGTGTTTTTTTTTGTGTCTATCATAACTTTTTCTCAGCTCTCGCTGGACCGATTTTTTTTGACGGTACGTCAAAAGATCACAAATCGTATCTAGATGAAGACATTATCCTCAAAAATTGAAAACTTTACCCTTATTCCCCGTAAATAGTGGTATCCCCCCCAAAATTTACAATTTTTTAAATCAATAAATTTCGAAATTTTTTTTTTTTTAATTGCGATAAACTTATTGAAAATGAACAAAGCAAAAGAACTTTTTTTATGTTGAAATATTAATTTATTCACTTTTATTTTATATAATATTTTAGAATATCTGACTCTTTACCTGTCCACAAAGGGAATTCAAAACTCAACTTCTTCAACTTAAATTTTGAAAAAGTTTCGGAAATACTGCGTCNCTGAATCTTTACCTGTCCACAAAGGGAATTCAAAACTCAACTTCTTCAACTTAAATTTTGAAAAAGTTTCGGAAATACTGCGTCCTTTAAACATTTGTCAAATTAAAGCTTATGTTACGTACTATAAATAAAAAAAAAATTGTTCAGACGACTTATCTTCTATATGCAGCCGTTTATCGTAGTAAATAAAAATTGTGCTATTTTTGTATTAAAATTTTCCATTTAAAATTTTCAACTTTAAATTCCTAAATTTTTTGAAAATATTGATCAACACAAATTTTGTTTCTAAATACATTATATATACTCTTTTTATCTGATATATTTTTGTTTAAATTGGTCAATTTCCCCTTATACAGAGGGTGTCAAAAACTGGTAACATATGTAAAAGAAGTAGAAATTTCTCAATTTAACTTTTGAAAATGTTTCGGGAAAACTGCGTCTTTTAAATATATTTTAAAATAAAGCTTATTTAATGTACTAGAAGTTAAAAAATTGTAACGACGACTTATTTTCTATATGCAAATGGTAATCGAAGTAGAACAAAAAATAGGAGTTATTTTTGCTTTTGGAATAATCCAACAGTTTCTTAAAATTAAACACTATCTACAAATTCGCATTGAAGCGTTTCTGATGATAGTGATTATAATCACTGATGTCAAAAAAGAGTTGTGCAAAAATTTGGAGCTTACACATCTAGTTGAACAGTTTTTATAGACCATTAAATTTGAGTTTGATAGAAAATTGTCAGAATAATAGCTAAACTTTCCAATATAACTATTTTTCGGTTAATCTCTAAATTATTAATTTAGCTACGCACAGGTAAATAATTTTGTGAAGAATTCAAAACTATAATTTTTTTATAACAAAGAAAGCGCAGTTATAAAATATATAAAGTTAAGATAAAAAATTCGAAAAACATGCAATTGTATTTTTATAAATATTATTTAGTACTTTTATTGTAAGTTTAAACAAATAAAGTTAACAGTCTAATGTAATTGTAATTGTTGACGATTAAGACAATAGTATAATAAAATTAGGCGTTTGACAATTATTTCATGATTTTGTGATTTTTTTGACTTGGTGATTGGTAACCATTTCTTTACAATGGATTGTATAACTGAGTTACAAAATGTCATAATTCTAATATTATTACTGAACTGAACGAACATAAATCAGTACAAAGAAATGTATTCTAAATTGTCAAGTTTAGCTTGAATTGGTTTAACCTCTACATCATTTTTAAATAATAACTCAAAGGCTTGGAGTAAATTGTTATTTTGAGAATTGGCCATCTCCGTCAAAGATTTTTCATTTTCTGGTATTACGTAAATCCCTAGGTTTACAAAATCAATTTTGTTTTCCATAAATTGTATACACTTTAGTAAATCACTTCTATATTCAATATCTGGTTTTTTATATCCGCCATCCTCGTGGATGGCGTCATATTTATCAAATACTACTTTAATACAATTAATGGGTTGAGTTGAAATCATTTCTTCTTTAAAAATCGCTGTTATGTTTTGTAGCAATCCATTGAAATTCGTTTTACTAGAGGTTAAATTGCCACCTCTCTTGTTCAATTCTCTTGCATATCTACAGAATCTATAAATATATGTGACACCTACACTTTCAATAACATTCAAAATGATTGCGTAAGCTAAAGCATATTTTTCTTTATTTAAACACGAATCTACTATTTTAAATAAATTGTTACCCGATACTTTAATGTCGCCATAATATAGATCTTCACTGTGATATTTATGTCTATTCCAAGGTATTGGACAAAGCACATTCTTTCCTCCTGAAATTTCGTTTGCATAAAATAGATGATCTTGAATTGAGAGATACATTATGTTTGGATAATTTTCAATAAGACGATCAACGTTTTTTCGAGTGATTTTATTAGCATGACGTGCAATTATAGTTTGGATAATATAAAAAAATATAAAAAACTTAAACCATTTTAAAGAAAACATTTTATTTGTTTAATTATTCAGTATGTTCTTAGACTGGTTACTAATTGTCTAGTTTTACAAAAATGACAAAGGAAAGAATATGTGCAATTTGTTATCTTCTATATATAAATTAATCAGAACCTACTTTACAATACGTAAAGGTCATATTTTATTTTTAACATGTAGCAAACTTTGAGCTATTGACAAATTTTATTTAAATTTATTGCTGTGTGCAAAAAAATTGTTTGCCGTTGCTTATTGTTCTTAAAATTGCAAATACAATTTGCATACGCTTAACAAATTTCATACAACAATATTAATCAAATGTTTATGATTTTAACAATTGATACTTAAAATGGTCATCTTGATTTTATTTTAACATTTTTTTTAATGAAAAAAAAGGGTTTTTTTTTTGTTTTTAAAAAACAAAAATAAATATCTAATATTATTGCATATACTACGTAATTTATTGTAAAAAATTCAATACTTTTGAAAGTAACGACATATTAAAAAATCTTCGGATATTCGTTAACATCTTGTATTTCAAGCTTATATGTCAGCCTAACTGTTTAATATTTTAAGTACTTGTAAAATTAATCAAATACATTACATTTTCAAATTTTAAATACTACATATATTTTATGAAATGAAAATTATGTTTGTTTAATTTGTAACTTATTTATCACAATTTTAAAGATTGGCCTCAAAACATATATCTTAATATTTTTAACTTAAATGTATATTATAATTTTTTTTTTAAATGTATATAGGCATGAAATAGTTTGTTTTTTCTTCGCATATTACGCAATTTTGTTGGCTTATGCACTTATGACAATACAAACCATGACCACACGGAAACACAATGAATTTTTTTACTGGCTCCATGAGTTCTATTAGTTCCATGCAGTTTACACATTGTGCTTTTTTTTTTTCTAAGGTACTCCTTGAAATTTTATCCCAAACATCTAGATGCAAAATTTAAATACATTATTTTTATAAATTAGTTGTAATGACTTAAACATGGTCGTAGTAAGTGAAAAAATAATTATTTAATTCTATTCCAATGTATAACGAATTTATAGTTCTTATTGAAATTAAAGTCAATTTAAACTAAAAATTTCATTTTCTACTCATTATTATTCAGATTATTTTTAATTATTTACTTATAAATGCTGTGAGTACTCATCAATAACTATTAAAAAGATGATATTGATGAAGTATTCAAGCATTGTGCACTTTTATAAGCTAATAGATGTACAGGCTTATAGAACACTTTTTTGATATTTATAAACGCATAATACTAATATAATGCTATTATAATTATCAAAACAAAGTTTAAGTTTCATTATAATTATCTACTATTAGGTTTTCAAGTATCACGTTTAACAAAAAAATATAAAATATTTAAATAATACTATTTAATTTACTATTTCCAAATATATACGAAGGCATCACTGCATTCACTTCTATGATATATTTGTACTCCAGTCGGCATAAAGGACATGTTTTTATTTTATAAATACAATCTTCACAACATCCTGTATGTCCACATGGCACAAAACTATAAATTGAATCATCTAAGATTAAAGTTTCCATACAAACGATACATGAGCCTTCATCTACAATAATGATGAACAATTTTTGGTCAAAAACATAATAAAAAAATATTCATATTTTAATAAAATTTTGTTTGTATTATAATATTATTTTTAAATAAATAAAGATTTAAAATTTTAATCTTAAAAAGATGTCCTATTTTTTCACTTAACAGCAGATTCTGACTAGAGTATTAAATTATCAAACCTATTTGTTCATATATTTTACAATGTTAATAAAGTTTCATAAAATTTTAATTTGACTGACAGTTGAAAAATATATTTTTAAATTCTGAAATAATAAACAAAAAACTATATTTTTTTTTTAAAATACACAACAATTTTCTATGTTTTTTGGAGGTTTTAGTATATTTTATCTAAAACAAAGTTCCTTAAACACTATTTTTGCATAGCTCATACAGTGACTGATCGCAATTTTCTGAACTAAATCAAGTTATAAAATTTATTAAAAATACATATGTGTGAAAACTTAATCATAGTTCATAATTTTTATTGATAATGCCTGAGAATTCATAAATCAATTAAAAAAATGTTTTATTACCACAATCTAATTTATCTGTTTCTGTTTCTATTTCAACATTAGCTTTAAATAATAAATTTATGGCATTGAGAATTTCACTTAGTTGCACACTTTCTAATTTTTCTAGCGGTATCTCTTCTGCAAATTGTTCACAAGTTCCAAGATCAACAAAATTAATTTTAAATTCTATGATATTCATAATATCCAGAAGATCATTTCTGTAATCATTATCTAAGTTAATATATCCATTCTCTTGATGTTTCGATTCATACTCTTTGTAAATATTTTTTAGAAAATCAATAGGCTCTGTTGAAATAATTTCATAATGAAAAACTCTCTGAATAATATACAGCAATTTATTAAAATTTTCTAAACTTTGTGTTAATTTACCACCTCTTTTATTCATTTCTCTGGCATATTCACAAAATCTATAAATATATGTAATGCTCACACTCTCAAGTACGTTCAAAATAATCATGTAACCTAATTCATACTTTCCTTTATTGAAACATGAAATCACTACATCGATCAACTTTTTATTGGATACTTTTACACTGCCATATTGTATATTATATGGATAACTAGAACACCAACATATTGGACAAATTGCTTTATAACCTAAATCCTCGTTCGCGTAAAATTGATGACTTTTGAGAATAAGTCCCATGACTTTTGGGTAGGTTTTTACAAGGCGAATCAAATCATTCCGACTGATTTTTTTTTGATCAACGGCAAATAAAATTTTAACAGAACAAAAAAATAACATCAACATTAAAAATTTTAAGTAAAACATTTTACTGCTTGAACCGATTGATACGTTCATGTTTTACTAGTATTTTACAGTTGGTAGTCTCAAAAAGTATTTTAAAAATATATTTAAATGACACGTTAAATTTATTAATGTATTTATGCATTTACGTAATTAGTTCTATTGGACTTTGCTAAAAATAGTGTTTTACGGCAATTATTTTATTTTTTTATGCAGTTTTGTTAATAATTTGAAATATTAGTTTACTAACTTTATTTATCTATTTCAAATACGCATAAAAATGTGACAATTTTCAAGCATATCATAATGTTCTCGATAAATTATTATTTAAATATCTGGCACAGACCCTCTAAAATTTAGACAATTATGTTTGTAAAATAAATAATCTTTTATAAAAATCTAAAAAGTGAAGTCATATTATAATCATTACATCATACAACTAATCATTTTATCAACTACTTATTTTTTTTTGTTGTTCTATGCATTTTTCATAGTACCAGACATGATCACATAGTAGATTTATAGATATTTTTTCTGGATGTGATTGATTTATTTCATGTTTGCAACTTACACATATCGTTTCTTTTTCTCTAACGAAGAAGACCTTTAAAATTTTGTCCCAAAACTTTTAATGAGAAATTAAAAGAAATGATTTTTGTAAAATAAAGTGAAGTTATCTTAAATATCAAGAAATATTCACTTTGTAATAATTAAAATTTAAATAGTCTTTATACAACGGAATATTAATATTATTAATTTTACCAAGTATAAAATATCACCTTCAAAAAATTGCGTTATATCACAAAAATTATAATATAATAAACAACAGAATTTTGTTTAAAAAAAACATAAAATACATTTTCCCTTATATCGTCAGATTAAAATAATCATAACTATTGTTATTAAGCGAACTAATAAATAATTTTAATTTTATAAATTCATATCATTAAAATATTTTGACAGATTAATAATTAATATTGGTCCAGTAAATTCTAAGAATTTTCATGTAGAGACTATTTTATTCTGTCATTATATAGTCATCAGAATATAATACACCAGCAGATTTTTCGATGGAATACAAATAATATTTATCATTTTTTTTTTTTTTTTTTTATTTTATATACATATTTTTATCAATTAATCAATCAAGAACGCATGGGATACCTCTCTAGTTGAGTAATCATCTAATGATGAGTTATCTAATAATTATGGAGTCAAACATATAATATTCTTTTCACATTAAACACATTAGATCAAAAGTATTAAGAGTTCTGGCTTGTATTTTACGTATTACATAGAAGTTAATAACATATTGAATTAAAACTTTATATTACTTGTTGGGGACACCTATTTTAGAATATAGTAGCATCATTTTGAATCTTTCACAAGTTGATTTGATTGAACAGTTACTGTGGGTAGAACGTTATCTTTTAAAAATTTAATCTATTTACAACAGTAACGTTGATCCTAACTCACAAAATTATAGTTTTAACTTAAAACCCTTTACTAGGTGACGTCGTTATTATATTGTTTATTTTGTGTACTATTTATTAAATGGCTACATCTCATATCTTGAACTTTTAAGTCTCGTTCCAATCAATGTTCGCCAATATTTTTCTTGTTCCTGTCCTACTTCTACAGTATCTTCTCATAAAACTTGATACGGCTTTAATAATTTTTTTTCTAAATATCACTGAAATGTAATAAATTGACTTC